GAGTACTGTACTGTTATAGCAGTCCTCCTATATGACAGTAAATGTTGGACAAACTCTTCACAGATGAAGAGAAATCTGGATGTAACAGAGATGTGGTACTACAGAAGGATCATGAGAATATCATGGACAGATAGCGTTAGCGACGAAATTTTACGGAAAACAGAACTAAAAAGGACACATATACTTACAATCAGAGAGAAGCAGGTAAAAATTCTGAGTCACATAATGACGAAGGATGGTTTGGAGAATTTGTTATTCACAGGACAATCTTCAAGGCGAAAAGAACAGGAGAAGCCAGCTGGTCACCTACCTAACGATCTTGTGTGAATGGATGGCGGAACAGGTGTAGTGGCTTGGAAAAGAGACAAAAGTACTCTTATAGCTACAGGTGGTAGAATGCTGTGGAGAACCATGATCACCTACGTCCTGAAGTGTCACGGCACAAAGAAGAGAAGAAACATATTTATTCATCCCACTAATTAGCCAGATGACAAAAATTGATCTATCAATGCTATAAATTATCACTGAAATGAAGTCACTACAATAAATTCACTAGGGTATACAATAGTATCGGGACTGTTGTTATAAAGAAAAAAACTACAACACATATCGGTCTTTCACTTAATCTCCTTCGAAATAATCCCCGTCTATAGCCATATATTTTATCCAGCATCGTTTCCATTCATGAAAGAATACCTGGAACTTCTTTTGGGGGATAACGAGCAGCAGCCTTATCCCATTCTCTTTGATTTATTCGTTTGTCATTAAAGCTTTTTCCTTTCAAGTGGGATTTGATTTTTAATGAGGAAAAAGTCGCAAGAGTCGAGATCTGGCTACTATGGTGGTTGTCGGACCTGGCAAATGTTGTGCTTGGATAGAAATTGCTGCACAAACTATGGTCACTAATGGAAACTTTGTGGTGTTGTAAGACGACCACACTCTACACACTTTCCTTCCAAGCCCTTCTATAAAGAACGGGAGTGAACAAGAACGTTATAACTTAGTGCACATACGTGACAGATTTCAAGGTCAATCCGTGCCAAGAGGCTTCACTCTGCGTACTTTAGTTCCGTTACCATAACGATATTTCCGATATTTCAAACATCGTATATTCTTTAATGACTGAATAATATTTATAATTTCTTTTAGTAATTAAACAGGAGCTCGCAGTTAAACTAATGAGAAATCTGAATAAGTTCAAATCATCTATTTTTCCGTTTCCCTTTTATTTTTATGTATTTTTTTGTCTCCATCCAGGCAGATTTTAAACACGGCAAAAACCTGCTTACCTTTTCGAACTATGACGTCTTTGAAATGTTCTTGTCCGTTTTTTTTTCTGCGCTGCGTGCTCGTGGCTTTAGTTCGTTCTCGGCACCAGCCCATTTGCCCTCATCACTGATTCTTCAACTTGGCAACGACATTCGATTTAGACCGAGAACAAATTATGAAAATGCTCCAAGAAGATTCTGCCTTGTACAGAAGTGTCCCCGAGGCTGGCAAAGAAATAGAAGTTGATGAAAAGGCAACATCGAACCAAGGCCGAAGGCAATCTGGCACGGAATTAAACTTTTCTTGATAAGGTTTCATATAAATTCTTAGATCTTAAAATGAAGCCATTTGTATTAAGTTATAGATACATATATCAATACATGTTCAATAATAAAGTGCATCATTCATATATATATATATATATATATATATATATATATATATATATATATATATATATATATATATATATACGTAATAATTATTATTATTATTATTATTATTATTATTATTTACTAACACACTTCATTACATATGCTTCCATATACACTTTTCATATTCTTCGGTATACATTAATATAACAAAGTGAAAACAACATTTTTCTGTTGCGCAACTCACACCTTACAATAAGTGTCATCTGATTATAGTCAGTGACAAAAATGTGTGTGCGAAAAAGGCATGAAAAATGGTTAAGCAGCAATAATTATTTTGTTATCAGAATTGCTCTTTCTCGGACTGAGAGAATAAGCGTCCGCTGTGTTTTTCAAAAAATAGCAATCACTGACGATGATTGCAGGAGCAAGCATTAACTCTGTAATCTGGTGATTTTTTTTCGAAAAATAGAAAATAGATTTGTCATTCTTATATATATATATATATATATATATATATATATATATATATATATGCATATAAATAACAAAAAAAAAGAACAGTAAGATATATAATCCGGTGTTCTTATAGATATTTTTAATTTTACAAAATAGTGCTCAATGTAAATTTACAGAGCATTAATATTATAAATTAATTGATTTAAAATATGTTTTTTTTTCGCTACACAGTTCTAACCATGTTTTTTGAAACATGGTTAGAACTGTGTAGCAAAAAAAAACATATTTTAAATCAATTAATTTTATATATATATATATATATATATATATATATATATATATATATATATATATAAATTGTGGTACTCGTTTGGAAAAACCTCGGATAGCTCAACTTGCAT